GGAAATCCTGCTTGGGCAGTCAGCTTGTTGTTCCGTATTGGTGGATTCCATATGGGCGGTAAAGGTGGGCGGGTAATATGGACCCAAGTGTGATTAAATTCATGGCCCGAGGCGGGGCGTTTGTAGATTAGTGGTTAGAGCGTTGGCCGCCGGTAAAGTTCTTTTCTGATACGCCTGTTCGAATCCCGCCGAACGCCTCGAGTTTTTTTCACAATTGGGTCAACTCAAATAAAGCAAATCTGCCTAACTTCCTAGCAATTAGGATGAATGAACTTTTAAAAGGAGTAAAAGTTAGTCTGCTGGATATCTGATCTCTGAATTTTGCCAGACATGCTATCAGTTCATTACCCTGCATTACCTCTCACATTTGGCTGTTGATTTAGGTTACATCTCACGGTGTTTTATTCAATCCATACAAAGAATGCACAAAAATGTGGATCTGATGCACTTTCTACATATCACAAAGGAATACTCGAATAAAAAGTATTTGACAATTACCTAATAAGGTCGATTTCTAAGAAATAATAAAATATCGTTCTTACCATCACGGTTGCCGTGCAGTCTGGGTCTACACCAATGGTGTAATCCGTGCCCCAAGTCAATTCTTCCTCACACGAGTGCCGCGAGGACGTGTTGAGCGTCAGTTCCTGCGAATAGTTGCCGGTCACTTCTAGTAATTGCTCAGGCGCCTAAAATTAAAATGTTGAAATTCTGAATGTGCAGTTTATTCATAAGAACAAACTGAAATTGTTTTAGTTAAACTTAAGAAAAAAATATCATCGGTAAAATATTTAGTTGTAATTTTGACGAAAATTTACGAAGTGAGACATTCGCGATTTTCTCTGAGGATTCCCCGAAGCACTTAAGGTATGCTTTCTCGTTTATGTTTTCCTTTACATAAACTAGGCAGATCTTATTTCTTTAAGGAATCATTTTGCACAGAAGTATCTGTTAATAAGGTGGTATTTTTATTGTCAACTTTTGTGTCGTTAGCAATTTCTTTTAAAGTAAATTAGCTTTTCTTTGAAATGAATTTTTCTTTCTCAAACGATGTAGCAATATGTAAGAGCGGCATCAGTGACTTTTTAATTTGAATCT